TACAGTATACACATACCTTCTAACAATATTTACTCCATTTTCCTGTGTCTCTGCCCCCTAATTTCCGAACTGGCAAGCTCTTTACATACCAAATGATAAGACAGTGATAAGACAATTTAAGAAAGACAGACTTGAACAATATAAGCCGCATAGGAAAAGACAGACCTTGGGCAATCTGTTTCTTGCTTTTAAGGTTGCAATGCTTAGAAACACTTTGCAAGACTGAATTTGGGCACAAAAAGGGCAAAGTGCACAATCCATCAGGAAATTGACCTTCTCGATCCCACTGAAAGTAATCGTAACTATGCAAGACCACTGCCCTACATTGCTGTGGTCAAATTAATGTCAGCACATTCATATAGGCAAACAGCCCACTGGAAACAGCCCCGGAGAACTGTATAGCATGTTAAAGATCTATTGTGGCATGAACTTTTATAGGCAAGAACTTATGTCATTGGATTCATGAACCAGAAGGAAGTGGCTTTGCTATTTGTACAACAGAATGGATAAAAAACAACACATTTCTGGGTAAAACTTAACGACGTAGTGATGCAGAGGGCACAGCCCTCAATTTATGAAGCGTCAGTCATGGAAATAGATATGCTTTTTGTTGGTTTATTTACTGTAAAACAAATAATATTTTGCAAAAGAAGCACTCCTAGATTGTTTTATTTCATATTTAGTTGAGACACAAAGGGAAGGATTAAAAAAGGCATGAGGCAACTTTAGATAATTGGAAAATATTATTAACACTGTGAGGAGGTATAGAGATTGGGCTTTGAGATTGCTGATTTTATCAGTCCTGAACCTAAAGAAGTATTTCTCGCCGGAATGATATTCTTTTATATATTACCAGGAATCATTTCCAGCAGTGCAATGTAAAGAGGGGTTTTAGAATATGACTGTAGTTCAAATTATCTTATAAAACCCATTAGTGAGATTATCTCATTTATACAGATTTAAAACATATAATTCATAAGATGCTGCCAGGTTACCATTGACCCAGGTGCTTATACTGTGTTAATTTACATCAAGGAGACAGTCCTGTGTGGAAATAGGGCAGTAGACAAGGATTTAGCCATTTTTCATTACCACTTGGACTTTGATAAAGGGGAACAGAAAAGAGCTTTGTGACCTTTCAGTGCTTAAATTATTAAGGAGCAAATAGATTTGAGGTCTGGTTGCTCGCAAATCTAATTTGTCTTTTAGAGTAAAGATGAAAAGATATTTTGGGTTTGAAATTGCTCTAGTCAATTCAGTTCTTTCCTTAAGGTGCCTCAGGATGCATTCAGGTATTTAGGCTGCAGTGGAGTATCGCAGGTAGGATAACCAGCGTGAACTCATCAGAATAAAACTACACTGGAACATCATTCTAAAATTCAGCCATTATAAATGGATGCCACCTATGTGATTAAAATCAGGCTAAGATCAGGTCATGAAAATAACCCATATGCTGAATTTAGAGCTTGCTATTTTCATTACTAAGAATTTTGCATATTGGTTGCTAGATCACCATCTACAGGTTTTACCTAGAAGCAGTTAGCAGCATGGGATATGTTGGAGATAAGCAGTATGATCTACTCTGTATTGTAGAGGAGAGAATCTGCAGTTATGTCAGAGTAGAATTAACAGGGCAATCATATGCTTCAGTTACCATCCACAGGAAACACATTGATGTAAAGTTCACATAACATATCCTATATCCCGTACAGTTTCAGCACACAAGCTGAGGAGGAAATTAGGAGAGCCAGTATGGCTTAGTGATAGAGGTGCTGAGCCTGGTAGACTTGATATAACTTCATTCCAGCCCCACTTGGGCATGGAACTCACCGGGTAATTTTGGGCCAGTCACTGACTCAGCCTAACATACATCACAAGCTTATTTCAAGGATGGGATAGAGAAAAGCAAAAGAATTATGTAAGCTGCCTTGGCTTCCTTGTAGGAAAAAAGTGCTATATAAATATTTTAAGTAAATAAATAAACTAATGTGCCTCTACAAAAAATACAGAATAGAACAACAATGCCAGCCCCTATTTCACTCAGCCATGGAAGCCGCCAGTCAACTCACAGTGTCCCAAGGAGTCCTTCCACAACAAATCTAGCATGTCCACAGTACACCGCATTAGGTACTGTGACACAGACAATAATCAGCCTCAGAGAGTCTCCAAGCCCATGCAGAAAGACTTTAAATCCCCTTATGTCACCCACACCTGCTCATGAGGACCCTTTGATTGCAGAACACAAAGGAAAGGAGGAAGTTGCTTTTCCCAAGTAGCTCTTTTGGAGTGGGGGGTGGCGGGGAGGGCTGCCAAATGAGAGGCCTCCATGCAACAAGGGCCCACTGAAGATCAGATCAGAGGACCACAGGCCCACTTATCCTCCCAGGACACAGCAAACTCCCCAGGGACTGCTTTGGTCCAATCTGTGGAAGCAGTTGACAGCAGGCACAGATGATAGGGGCATTTACCATGCCTCAGCTGCTGGCCTAAATATCAAGCAATATATGCCAAGGACTATGTGAGCTGCAAATGAAACCCTAGCCAGGTGGAACAGGTCAAGCTTTACCTGCAGGAACTTCCAGGTTCAAATCCAGGATTCTAGAAAAGGTTCCTACATGGTCAACCAGCTCTTTTGGCCCACTGCTCACCATTGCAATTCACACAACTCTCTGCCCTGCTTTTTTGCCTCACAGGCACCCCTACCAATGGTATCCATTCCTTCTGCTGCCCATGAAGGACTGCCTCATATACCAAGCATGTACCATCCCACTTGTGATTTTTATTGGCTTTCCCAAATGGTTTTTCCTGATCCTGATTGACATGAGAATGTCCTGACCTAGAGTAATAAGTTTGCCCATCCCTCCACATCAGGTTTTCATCAGCCTAGGTGAAATTTGAACCAGAGAGGTGAGAAATACATCTGTCCACTAAAACCTAGCAATGACGGAAGAACACATGTTGCGGTATGACATCATTTACTGAAGAACACCAATGGTGGAGTGAGTTTCAAACATAAGAAAGCATGTATGTGCAGTTGCTGGCCAATTATGCCGGTATAGCACCTGAGTTTTAACAGTTGTTTGCTCGACAGTAGAGCAGTAGGTGTGGAGTCTCTATGGTAAGGATGTCTTCTCCAGTTGCATAACCATCTGTCATAGAACTTGCAAGGGTATAGGAGCATCTTTGCAATACATAAGTTCATGGAGAAATTGGAAAGACTCTGGTCACTGCTGCTTGCCATGCAGTGGACCTCCCTTATGATCTGCACAGAACTGGATGTGGAGAAGGTCCTGTGGCCCTCTTCACTGAGGGAAAGAAGATTGAAAGGGCATTAGGAGCAATGACCTGCAGAGGTGGCATGTGGTCCCTTGGCATGGATCTGGATGCACAGCAGGGATTTTTAAGGACATGGTGGTGAGTGATGCCACCTGACTGTTTTGCCAGTACGCTTTCTTGAGTTTTTCCCAACATCACTTTAAGACTTCAGTGACTGTGGTAATGAACACATTTCCCCTACAGGTAGATGCCTTGGAACTGTCTGAACATGCAATCAGTTTGCTCTGTCCATGCTGTGATCCTACAAGACAAAATTATTCAGAAGTGTTCAGACAGAAGTAGTAGGAGTGGCTGGTCTTTGCTAACAGAAGACTTGCTTACCCCTATGTGAGCACATATCTCCTTGTGGTATTACCCCATTCAATTATTAAGATCAGCAGAAGATAACCTATAGTTTGCGAGGTCCACTTGTGGGACACATGGCAAAGGGCTTTCTCCAGTATCACTCCTAAGCTATGGAATGTGCTCCCTTTGGAGTTTACAAATGGTTTTTGCTCTCTCTTCAGAACAGGGTCAAAATGCATCTTTGCAACTTAGCTTTCTAAATTGTTAGCATGGTTTCTAATGACTCTTTTTTCTGTTATTTTCTTATTACTCTTTAATTTTTTTTATTTTATGCTACCTTGGCTGATTTCAGACAGTCTGCATAGAAATACCTTTAAGTAAATAATAATGATAAATAATTCTACACACATGCACATAGGGCCCTCTCTTCCCCACAGGGAAGTAACTGTGCGTACACAGGGAAAATTAGTACATTTCTATGTCTTTGCCTGTTTGTAATTCAAAGTGTGCAGCAAGAGTTACTGTTCTGAAAGTGTTTTTTCCCTTAAGTGATGCATTCTCTCCAGTGAGCTACTTTTGAGTTAATGGTATCATAATCTTCATCAAGCATGGTGCCACCATATAAACACAATTTGTTTATAACACTGGAGCATCACAAGCTGTGTCAAAGCAGACTTCTGTATCAGTATGTGAACAGCTAACAAATGTGGACAACCTGTTCAGATCTTCACTGTTCTCCCATGAGTGCAGAAAGCTGTTTGCAGTGGGAAGCAGGGTGCTTTTTCTTTTAGTGCTGAATGTGCATGATTTTAGTTGTTAAATTGCTTACACAACATCATTATCCTTCAGGACATCTTTTGTGCTTTGCAACCATTTCCATGGGGTTCTTTAAGATGGAGGAAAATGTGGTATTATCTGGAAATTGGACTATGAAATACTAGTGTATTTTTAGAGTTTCACAGTAATGTGATGCAACCTTACGGCTGCGTAGTGAAATACATAGAAGAGCAGGTTAAAAAGCTGTTAATATGACAAAAGAAGCAGAAGCCTTATAAAGTAGAGGGCTAAAAGCTTCAGGTAGAAAAGTCCTGTTAGTGGGAGGGTGTGAGAGTAGTCTAACTCTTGCAAAATTGTGCTGGTTAATTAACATTATGATATAAATAATTATTTCAAAGTAGGCATTTCTGAAAAGGAAGAAGGCATATATACTTTCAAGCAAGTTCTTAAATATTAACTTGATTTCACTGTGCTCCTTCCTTTCAAACATAATATGCTTGATCATAACTGCCAGCTGAAGTGATTTAAACATGGGTTTGTTTCAGGTGCTTTAAATTGGTCCAGCATTTTTTCTCATTCCTTCTTCCATGTTCCTTTGTTAGTGTCTACCAAATAGTCATTGAGGAGGAGCGGCCCCGCAGAACCAAGAAAACAACTGAAATCCTGAAATGCTATCCAGTGCCAATTCACTTCCAGAACGCTTCACTTTTGAACTCTCAGTATTATTTTGCAGCTGAGTTTCCAGCCAACAATATTCAAGTTGCTCAGCCTTTCACTATCGGTGACAACAAAACCTACAGTGGCTTTTGGAACACCCCACTTCTCCCTCATAAAAGCTATAGTATTTATTTTCAAGCTGCCAGCAGAGCCAATGGGGTAAGTCTTAGAACTCTGATTTAAAGCCATAGCCGTGTGTCAAAGCAATACCTGTGTCCATTGTCTATTATGGGAGCCAAGAAAACAGTGGAAAATACATTTTTCTTTTTGTTAGCATAGTTACATAGCAGCCAATTGTTATTAGGGCAAGGGGGAAGAATTTCATACTTCCATCAGCAAAGCCTAAGCAAACATTCCTTAAAATTACTCTCTTTTTTCCACTCTCACTGCTCCCATTAAATGATTTTGACTTTTATACTATATGTTTGCAGGGCTTCTCCAACTGTATTACATTAGTTTACATCAGCTTGTACACCTGTTTTACCTCTCGATTGAACATATGCCTTTTGTATTTCTCTCTCAACCAATATAAATAGAAATAAGTTTACTGGGCCAAAGTGGAAAGCATGTTAAAGGTCCTTCCTTTGCAGATCACATTTTATCCAGCTGATTCTGGAATTGTTTTTCATTTTCTGGGCAGACCTACCCAGAGCCCTTCAACTCCTGATAAGCTTTGGCTGTCTCCCTTGACAGCAGGGAAATGTTTTCTGCCAAATATCATAATGGCCCTCTTTTACAGTACACTGACAGTGCAGAAATGTGAAACACCATTGATTTTTGTTTGCTTTCTTACATTGTCTACCATGTTGCTCAGAATGGTGTAGCTGACTGTAAGAAAAGAAAATATCCCAAGGTCAGTGTGTTGTCACAGAGAAAAAAGCCCACGAATCATGTCTAATAACATCTCATTCATCTTCTAGGTTAACATTAAGTGATGTATTGATGCTACATGTCCAAGTGTATTTTCCTTTAGTTACCCATAGCAGGGAAATGAATTGAACAAGTGCAGGAGACTTTAAACATGAGAACAACTAAAGTTGATGCTTTTCTTAGATCTTTTCAGCAGCTTAAAGAAAAGCACGTGCATTTTTTCTTGCTGTACATGCAGACCAATAAATGACCTTTTCTTTCTTTATCTGACATAGGAAACAAAAATTGACTGCGTCAGAGTGGCCACAAAAGGTATGCTTCAGTTGTATTTCTTCTCAGCCTTAAATCCATTGACCTTTCTACCAGGAGATTTCCATTGTTACGTGTTGAACAATGGAAACATTGTTACATAAGGGAGGGTAGCAGTCAGCTGTAGAATAGCTATTAGTTGTGTATACCTTCTCAGCTGGTACACTTTAATGGTCACTTCCTGATTCTGGACATAGTACACTTTAATTGTTTTGTTGGAATATTTAGACATTGAGGGGCGTTCTCACATTAATGATTCAGACAAGCTATACTTATTGGGGCTCACAAGAAAAACGGTAAGCAGTGGGTGTAATCGGTCACCTTTGCTGCATATTCTAGGCTTGGAATGGGATTCCTTGAGCTCCTTCCCTGAGAATGGTGGGCAGTAGTAGGACTAAGACTCCTGGTGAACTGATGACCAGCACATGAGGCTCGTGGCTTTGTGATACAACTGCTGAGCTATTGTAAAATATTAGTTAAGAATTTTGATGCAAAACCACGTCGTTTCTGCTCACATGAATGAAAGGTGAAGAATGCAGTGCATCACTGCTACAAGAACAACAGTGGCTTTCTGAAATCTTCCAGGCATAGTTTAAGATGAAACAGAAAAACAGCATTATAAGATTTTCAAACCCTGTTGGTTGGGCCCTCTGAACCTTAGAAGCTAGCTCCTTCCCAAGAATAGTTCTTCTCTGTGATCCACTGTAGTCGATATGGTCAGTCTGCATAATTTGCATGCCCAGTATGAGCAGCATTATTATGCGCCACAGGGAGCTGTTCTTGGCTGTTGCTTCCTAATCTTAGCCTTCGGTTCATTTTGAGTATCAGCAATGCCCAAGTCTGATCAATTTCAGTAGCAATGTAACAGCTATGAAAATCTGCCTCCCTTGATTTTTTCATGCAGTTTTGTTAATTTCCTGAATTCTACTTAGGGGAACATTCTTGGTGTAACTAATATACAGATCTGTTGCCAATTAGTTTCTTAAAACAAGCTCAGAATTTTTGACAAAAATTGACTCCTTTCCTCCGCCATTACAACACTCGAATTGGAAAATTTTTGTACAAACGCAGGCTTTAATTTATACTTACCCATCTCCAACTGTTGAGAACCCTGATAAGGCAGGATTCCAGATAGTCGGAGATTTGTAAGCATGTTCACCAAAATGTGTACAAGCCCCTTTTCAGATCCTCAAGTTGACTGTATGACACATCTGGGAAGGCAGGGCCACTCGGGGAGGGATGTCATGCGTACATATTTCCTGTCTCCGCTGTATGCCTTCTGTGGTGGCAGCCATAGGGTTTAAGTCTTCCAAGGGACCCCAGTCCTAGGAACCTCATTACACAAAGATTTGTGCAAGTATAGTGGGGCTTCTTGAAGTTTCCTGACAGAAGTTGCCTGTACGGGTTGTAAGCTAGTTTTGTGACTGCCCCAATTTCAGAAAAGGCTTGTCAGTTACTGTCTCAAGCAAGTGCTTTTATAGGAAGAAAGGAAGTTTTAAAAGCCCCTCTTTTTTTCCTAGGAGCAGTCCCTTGACAGAACCCAACAAGCCTGTACTGAAATTCCGGGATTAGAACAATCAACCCAGTGATACAGATTGCAGCCACATTAATTCCTTCAGTCACCATTGGCTTTTCTCAAGCTGCTTTGCTAACAGAAGCACTAGTCTTTCCATTTATATAATATGCCACTATTGGCATAATTATATTCTTCTTATTCTTTTGTTCAAAGTAACATACATAAATATCTGATTTGGAGTGTTCTATGTGATGGCATATTAAACATTATATGGCCTCCATGTTGGGCTCATTCTGATCATGTTGCTTCTATCATTCCTGGTAATGTGAATTTGTGTCTAGTTTTCACTTTGACATGTAAAAATGAGCAACCCAACAGAAAGGAAGCATTTTCCCCAATTTACTATAAATAGCTAGATGAATTGCTTAACATCAGTTGGTGATCTAACAACTGTGTCCCGATCTGGGAGCAATCTTAAATCCCCAACTTGGATTACTGCCTTGTGTCACCACATCCAGTGGGCTCTTGGCTTGATGCAGAAGAAGCCACACGTTAAAAGGAGATGCAGTAAGGCACCATGAATAAAACAAGCCTTGTAACTCATAATTGGAACCAATTACCTGGGAGGTCATGGGCTCTCCCACCCTAGAGGCATTCAACTGTAGAGCCATTTGAGAGGAATAGTGTAATTTGGAGCCCTGCACTGAGCAGGGGGTTGGACTCAATGGCTGTCTGCCCCCTTCCGAATCTGCTAGTCTATGATTCTACAAGTAGGTTGAAAAACAGCAGCTCCTATTCAAGGATCATGAGCCAAATCCTATATAAACACCCTGCCCTTGCACCGAGCAGCTATCTGCTGACAGTTAATAAGCACATGCATGCACAGGCATAGATGTGTCTGTCCTGTCAAACAGGGAGGGGGTCCGCTCACTCCTGTAAAGGCAAACAAGCACACACGGGACTTAAGACAAGAGGACACAGCATGCCCAAAGAAACAGTCCAGTGAAGCAGTCATGATTATGGAAATGAGGCCCAGCACCCCACAGACACAGCTGGGGCAAACCGTGCTGAAGCCCATCCCGCACACCACCACAATATCGGCAACAAAAAGATCAATGCACGGAGTAAATGGGAACATATAGGGAAAATGGGAAGAGGGTTCACAGAATGCTTGGACCCTTGCAGGAAAACTCACTGTGCGGGGGCACAGTCAGGGCATTATAGGGAAGAGCAAGGAAGTCAGCATCCTGTGGGAATACCTTGCCGACAGTGATGGGGAAACGGGAGGAGCATCCAGCAAAGCATATCCTTTCATAAACTGGGAGCAAGTACAGAGGGGAGGACAGAGATGAAGCAGAGGATACTGCACCTCATGGCCATGCTATATAGGATGTCAAGGATTTCCATGAATGGGCAACTGTCTACGCTGCTGTAATGATACCCATGACCATGGCAAGGTGCCACACCTTTGCTTTTTTTGAGGCTAAAAGCAAAACCCTGTGGGGAGAAACTAGAAGACTTGGACATGTTTTGCCTTGAGAAGAGAAGACTGAAGAGAGGTACAATCATGTTTGTCAAGTATTTGAAAGATGGTCACTCAAAGAAGACTCAGGATCTTTTCTTAATCATAGACTGCAGGACACAGAATAATGGGCTTAAGTTCGAGGAAGCCAGATTCCTACTGAACATCAGGAAAAATTTCCTGACAATTACAGCAATACAACAATGGAGCTAATTACCTAAGGAAGTCGAGGATACTTGTACACTGGAGGCATTTTAGGTGCAGCTGGATAGCTATTCATTAGGGATGATTTAACTTAGATGTATCATGCAGCACAGCATCCTTGGACTCAACCTTTGTTGAACAACATGGATGGTGCTGCTGCTGAATACTTTCATGTTGAATTTGGATATCTTTGCCCTATTGGGGCATTATTGCTCCGTTGGTGGAATTGTTTGGTAGGCCACCCTGTTGTAGATAATGGGTTTTTGTGTGTGTGTGTGGTTGCATCTGCATTGCTTCTGCCTGCCACGGGCAATTGTCGTAGTTGCTGGTCCATGTGTGCCGATGAGGAATTGCCTGCTTCCTGCTTGCTGTTTCCCTTGCAAAGCATCATGCCATTCATGAACAAAGCTGACTGATTTGCTTCTGAGATGTGAAGAGGCATCACTGGTTTAGCTGGGGCTGCAATCCCTGTGTATTTACCTGGGTGGGCTGCCCATGGGATCTTAAGAGTATTCAGCTATAGTCATGTTTGTCTCAAAGAGAGCATACAGTATCACTGAAGAAACCCCTGGAGTTCCCTGTCTGACCACCTTGGATCAGGCCACTATTGTATATTCCATTCATCTGGAATGAACTGCCCTGAATTCAATGAGCCTCACTTCTGAGCAGTTGTGTATTGAATTGTGCTTGGTTGAAGGATTGCCCTGTCACCATAAAAGGAATATCTCACTCAGCACTGGTATCCACATTTCATTTGGAGCCAGAGTCATTCTCCCCAATAGATCGTACTTACAAGGAGGCATGTCTGTGTATGCCTCTTAGCTCTGGTTGTCGTGACTGGTACCTCACATCCATGGTGGGATGTTTGCTTTCCCTCTTCCCAGCTTCAGTTTCATCTGTATGTCTGGATCAGAGATGCATGCAAATGTTTGGTTTAACCTCCTGATTTTATTCTGCTTCTCACATCCCACTAACTTGTATTTGAGTCAGTAAACAGATTTCTGTGTTGTTAATTTTTAATGGCACATTTGTACATATTTGTTTAGTTTGATCCTGACTTGTAATTTGTGCAAAACACAATTTGTGAAAACTGTATTTTTAAAGAAAATACTAGGTCAATGTGTTGGGAACTGACTGCTATCAAAGTGCATTAGGTACCAACAATGGCTATTGACCAAGAGAGGATGCAAATAAATTAATTCATTATGCAGTCCAGAGCTGTCAGATGGTAAGCTAAAAGTTAAAGCAAAGCTGCAAGAAGGAACTTTCTTGTGACAGTGGGTGGTGTTTATATCATCTCTGTCACTGCAAGATCCTCTAACTTTATCTGCTCTGACCAAATGGTTCTCAGCATTCTATGCTTCTACCACCCTTTCCCAAGACTCTGGGTGCCCCAGAAAGTGAAAAAGTGTAACCACTTTTTACATACTTTCTGCTGAAATTTGGGGGAACATTTCTGCAGTTCCTACCATTCTGCCCTTTGAGACCCATAGGCCTGTGAATCTTAAAAAATTAATTCTGTCATTTCTTTCAATGATTGGCTGAACCTTCTTTACTCCTTTTACTTAGGGAAAAAAAGGTATTTTCTGCAGTGAAGTAGCTACCATAGCAACAGATGACCTCAAAGTAGCATCTTAGGGGATGGAAAAGAAAGAGATTCAGCTTTTATATAAAGCATATGCCAGTTCATTTTATGTTGTGAAAGCATATTTTTGAGTACTTTGTAGAATCTCTGGAAAGTTTGTAGGATTCTCAGAGAGA